CCATGATATCGGCTCCTTTCGTTCTCCTTCCCCCAGTCACAGGTGGCCCCGCACTCTGCATCTCCCCCATCTCCTCTAACTACAGTGGTTTGTGACGAGGACCAGCTTGGTATGACCTGACGGCAAACCCGGACACTCCCGGCTTGCAGCCACCGCTCCTGGCACGCAGGAGAGACGCGGTGTCCTCCCATCCAGCCCTGAGTTTGGATCTCCTTGTGCCGGGGCCCGGCGATGCTACTTTAATGTCACTGCGGTCCCCTGATGACATGGCCACCTGACCAGTGAAGCCCAGAAGATCTGGAAAAGGCAGCGTGTGTGTCCCTGGTCCCGTGCCCACCAGGGGCTGCAAGCCTGTGCGCGCTTGCACACCAGCCTGACCGGCCAGAGGAGCCTGGCCCTGTGTCTCCCTCCTGCTCAGCCACGGGCACGATGGAGCAAACCCCCCCCACCAGACACCTCCGCCGGGGGGCTTGGAAAGGGGCGTACGAAGGGGGTTGGGTGTTTCTTGAGTTTGGTTTCAGATCCAGACAGCAGCGGGATGGAGGTCCCTGGGTGCTGGGTGTCCCCCTTGCCGCCCCGTGGCGGTGGCTGTGGTGGCGGGCGGGCGCCGGACCCTCACGAGCTGTCCACCACCTGATGGGGCAGGGTGACAGAGGAGCCGTTGACGAAGGAGCCCTGCTTCTCCCGGCCCTTGAGGAAGAAGGTCAGCAGCTCCCCTTTGCCCTTGACGTAGATGGCTCCCCGGCGCACGAAGCGGAAGCCGTACTCCTTCAGGATGAGGTGGGTCTCCTCCACCACCTGCGGGGACAAGCAGATCTGGTGGAAGCCTGGGGGGGTCCTTGCCTGGTATATGATAAGTGGAGCAGGGACCCCCATGTGCTGCTCAGACAGGCCTACCCACCAGCCTGGGTCCCACCCCAATGTCTTGGGGTGCCCTTTGAGAATCCTAGTGCCCCATTCCCAGCTTGGAGGAGCCCCTCAGCCAACCCCAGCCCTCCTGTGTGCTCCTAACAGCACTTCCCCCCTCCTGCCCAAAGCTTGGGATGTTTTGAGGGCTGCAGCCCACCATGGTTTGCCCATTTGTCCTCCTCTGGTCACCACACCTGTATGTTTCCCATCACACCAGTGGACTCCATCCTGCTGGCCACATTCACCGTGTTGCCCCAGATGTCGTAGTGAGGCTTGCGGGCACCGATGACACCCGCCAGCACAGCCCCCTTGTTCATTCCTGTACAAGATGAGGAACAGACATCACCTCCGTGCATGGTGGCATGGACAGGACATTGCAGTCTGCTGGACAGTCCGTCCCAGGGGCTATGTCAGCCCTATGTCAAGGTTATGAGGTCCCCTCAGCCCTGCTGCCTTCAGCTGCTGAACTACAGCAGCTGCCCAGAGTCCCACCACTGACAGGTAAGGAGGGAGAGGGGACTTGGGGACAGACCCTGCCCCACCCTCTAGGACTTGCCTATGCGGAGCATGAAGTTGTTGAAGGACTGGTAGTTGATGTTCATCAGTGTCACCTTCATGGCTAAGGCAAAGTCGGCCAGGTCGGCCAAGTGCTGCCAGCGCTCCTTGTCCGAGAGGGTCTCCTTCTGCAGGGGCAGCATGGGTCAGGCCTGCCCATCCCTTGCCTGCTGTCCCCTGACCACTGGGACCCCCTCACCTTGGTGCTGTAGCCATTGGCGTTGACATCAGGGGTCACTCCAGAAGCGGCCATGTAGGTGCTGCCAATGGTTTTGATTTTGGTAATGCACCGGAACTGGGGTTCATCCAGGAGCTGAGTCATGGAGATAAGACCCTCAGGCACCTTGGGGCCATGGCAGGTCCTTCTACCCCCAGATGAGGCAGGAAGGGAAGGTCTGGCCAAGCCCCACGCCAGCCTTGTAGCTGGCTCCATCTTGACTCACCGCATCGAAGTCAGAGATGATCTCGTTGAGAAACCGCAGGCACTCGATGCCCCCATTGTTGATGCTCTCCTCGGTGTAGAAATCAGCAAAGTTGGGCAGGGAGGCAAACATGACACCAATCTCATCATAGGACTGGCTGTACAGCTCCTGGGGAGGAGACGAGACAGTGGCTGTGAGCCAGGGACATGTCCATGCACCACCAGCAAAGACAAACCCTCCATGAAGCCATCTTCCCTTGACATGTGGAAACAGGAGGGTGCTCTGCAGCCTCACCTTGCACAGCCAAGGCATCTTCTTCATTCAAGCCAGACACTCAGCCAGAGCCAATGGCAAAGCCTGCGTAACTGGAGCCCACCCGCTCCCTCTCCAAAATGGGGGCAAATCCCCCTCCTGGGTGTCCCTCACCTCATCCCGCTTCTTGGAGCCCAGGAAGTGCCGGGCCACGTGCTCAGGCAGCATGTTGGTGACCAGGGCCTCATTCCAGCGCCGCATCTCGTAGACCCGCTCCTTCTGGTCATGGACATCGATCTTCCAGAGGAAGAGGGTCCTGGCCAGCTTCTCCACCTGCGGGTAAGGGGGATATGGCTGTACCCTTGGTTCCCACCCACCAATGGATCCCCTCCAGCAGTGAGAGCATCCTGGCCACTGTGGGGCCTGTCTGGGCTTGGGGAGAGGCTGGAGAGAGGCTCTGGGACAAGGTGAAGTTCTAAATAGGGACATAAGCCTTGCTCCAAGGTGCAAACAGGACCCTTGTGGGGCAGACAGAGGCCTTCGGGACACCATCTCACTTCCCACTCCTAACCATGGGAGCAAGGCAGAGCTGTTCTGATGAGGTCCTGGAGAGCCCTTTTATGGAGAAGAGCTGGAGATGCTGTTCACAGCAGAGGAAAAAATCCTGCTGCCTTGGAGCTTGCAAGAAACAAGGGCAGCAGCTGAGGGCGAAGATGCAGAGGGGAGAGGGGAACTTCTTGGGGTGTGTGTGGGTCAGTCACTCACATGGCGAGAGAAGTAGTAGAAGCTGAGCATCACGATGAAGATCATGGCCGTCATGGAGTACTTGGAGGGGACCAGCGAGGACCTGCTGGCAGAGGTGGCAAGGGGTGGGTGGGTGGTGGGCACAGCGCTGCCCCCCACCTCCCTGCCCCCCGCCCCGTCCCCCCTTACATGCTTTGCTGGCCGCGGCGACGGTCATACTGGTCAAAGATGTGCTCCCAGGCGTAGATGTTGACGGTGCCAGCAGCCCCAGTGATCAGCACCATGAGGGTCAGCTTGACCATGTGGCTGACCTGCACCAGCATGATGGTGGCCACCAAGGCCAGCAGGGCGATGTAGCTGTAGTACTTGGGCTGATCCCCACAGCCACCTGGCTGTGGTGTCCCCACTGTCCCATTTCCCAGCCCACTGTGATCCTGCCAGCAGCTGAGCTGAGGGTAGGAGGGCACAGTGAGGATGGGGATACAGGGAGAGGGTGTCCCCTTCCCCAGGGCAGGGTGCTCTCTGGAGTAGGAGGAGAACACATGACCTAAAACCCCTCCCTCTGCAGTGCAGACTTGCTAATGGGCTTAACGATCGGCCAAGCACAATTATGGGCTGTCTGGATGGAGAGGGTCAGAGAGGGTTCAGCCCTACAGGCACCCAGGCTGGTGTCTCACCATGTCTACAATGTCAGCCATGGTGACGATGATGATGGCAGCCATGGCCCAGGTGTTGCGCGCCCAGCGGGTCCTGTCAATCCAGGTGGAAAAGGCCACGAGCTTTTTGGGGAAGACCTGCGGGGAGATGAAGGGGGAGAAGGGTTCGTCCAGGCAGGACACAGCGATGAGAGGGACATCCTGCTGTGCCATCACCATGAGTGGTGAGCCCGTCTCCCTCTCACCCGGGGGAAGATGGCAGCCAACGAGCAGAGGGTGAGGATGAGGAGCAAGATCTCTCCCACCACAAAGGTCACGTAGTTGGCCACCAACCTGCCAAAATGACCAAGGGGAGACAGGCTTGAAGAGTGGTGGAGCCAAGCGCAGCTTGTGGCCACCTATCCACACCACCTCCCTGCCATACCAGGGGTCGATGAAGACCTCCACCAAGGCAGTGAAGAAGAGGATGACACAGGAGCAGCTGAAGGCAGCCCCGCTCTGCTTCTCCTTCTCTACCGAGTAGCGCGTCTCCATCTCAGGGTCGATGAAGCGCATGGAGAGCCGGAAGGTGCTCTTCCCCTTCAGCCTGCGGGTGACACCACCTGTCACCACCCAGCGGCACCGGGGCACCCGCTGAGCCGCGCCCGGCCAGGGTGACTCACGCCTGGATGGACTCGCGTTCCAGCAAAGCTTCGTTGAGCAGCTTGTTGAGCTCCTGCTCGTTCTGGGAGGCGTCAACCACCCGCTCGGCCAGGTCCCGCAGCCGCAGCCGCCGCCGAGGGTTGGGGAAGGAGGGGTTCACCGCCTGTGCCGGCACAGCCCAAGCATCAGCGAGACCACGTTGGGTGTTCGACCACCCTGGTGTGGCTACCAGCAGCCCCCGAAAGCAGGTAAGATGCGTGGGCTGTACCTCTCCATCCTCCTCCCCGTTCTCCAGGGTGCCCCTCACCCTGACCTCAGGCTCCTCGGGGTCCTCGGGGCTGGGGCAGGCCAGGCTGAGGCTGCCATTGCGCTCCTTGGTGTTGACCAACGGTGGGGAACCACCATGGGATGAGGTCAGTGACAGCTTCTGCAAAATGGGAGGTGGTGGGTGGGTTGCGGTGAAGTGTCCCCGCGACCCCGGCTCACAGGGGCACCCCCTCCACTCACCACCCCGTTGATGCCGTTGCGCAGGGGCTGCTTGGGGACCACGACGAGGTAGGTGACGATGCCTTTCTCCTTCAGGTACTCGCAGCGTGAGCCACCTTCCCCTGGCTCCACCTCGAACTCACCCTTCAGGCAATCCATGGTGCTCTGCGAGATGTGCACCCGCCTGCCAGCGCCGGGCACCAGCGTCACCCCGGGGTGCAGGACACCTCGTCCCCATCCCCTGCCTTCCCCCCTGGAGATGCTCACCCAGGGATGCCACCCGCCTCCATCTTGTTGGCCACAGTGACATCAGTGGACCACACGTCGTACTGCCAGCGCTTCTGGCCCAGCACACCCCCCAGCACTGTCCCACTGTGCACGCCCACCCGCATGTCCACCGCCGTCTTGGTCTTCTCCCGCACATACCTGGGAGGGAAACACACGGGTGATGCAGAATCATAGAATCACAGAATCATTGAATGGTTTTGGTTGGAAAAGACCTGTAAGATCCTCCAGTCAAACCATTACCCCAGCACTGCCAAGGCCACCACTAAACCATGTCCCTCAGCACCACAGTTACACGGCTTTGAAATCCCCCCAGGGATGGGGACTCCACCACTGCCCTGGGCAGTCTGGGCCAGAGCCTGACAACCCTTTCCAGGAAGAAATTGTTCCCAAGATTGAATTTAAACCTCCCCTTGCACAACTTGAGGCCATTTCCTCTTGTCCTATAGCTTGTTCCTTGGGAGAAGAGATTGACCCTCCCTGCTCCAGTCTCCTTTCAGGCAGCTGTAGAGAGCTGTTTCTTTGGCTTTGGATCAGCCACTCACAGCATTTGTATCCCAGAGGAGAAACAAAACCTGTGAAAGCCAGTGGTGCACCAGGATTTCACCTGTCCATGTCCCTCTGGATGCTTCCTGCTCAGCTTGGTCATCTGCAAACCGACTGAGGGTGCACTCAGTCTCCTCATCCAGATCATTGACAAAGGTATTAATGACAACTGGCCCCAAAGGGGGCTGACATCCTCCCAGCCCACCCCCATCCCAACCCCTCACCATTAATTACCACCCCTCCATCTTTAAACCTTTTTGCTGGACTCCAAAGCCCCCCAGGGTGCACCCCAGCCCACCATGACCCCTGCTCCCCCTTCCCTGTGGAGCAAGGTCTTACGAAATGGCCTCCACCATGGCCAGCCCCATCATGATGGAGCAGACAGCATGGTCCTCCCGGTACTCGGGCAGCCCACAGATGCAGTAGTAGCAGTCGCCCAAGATCTTGATGCGCAGCTGATGATATTTCTGGGGACAGGGTGGGAGGACATGGTGTCAATCCGTCCACCACCATCAACTAGGATTCCCCCCCCATCCCTCAACCCTCTTCCAGCCTGACCCTGACCCAGGCAGAGCTCTCGCGTGCCTGGCAGGGACACAAATAATTGGATTTTCCATTCCCACCCTCCCTTCCCAGCTCTATTTTTGCAGAGCTGGGCGTGTCCTGCGTCCCAGAGCAATCCTGTTTTAACCTCCTCATCCCCATCCCAGGATGCAGCTTTTTTTGGAGGGAGAGGGATGATGGCTGAGACCTGCCCTGCTCATTACAATCCAGGCAGGGGTTACTCACGGCTGCCAGTTTGTCAAAGCGGGCGAAGAGCTCGTTGAGGAGCTTCACCAGCTCCTGGGCACTGCAGGAGGAGGAGAGCTGGGTGAAGCCCACGATGTCGGCGAAGAGGATGCTGCAGGGAGCAACAGCGAGTGGCTCAGCCCTGCCACGTTCCCTCTCATGTCCCCCCCTTCCCTGCTCCCTGCTATTCTGGGACGCAACTTCAAATGTTGCTTTGCAAACCGTGGCTGGAGCAAAAGATGGCTCCAAGGCGTGGTCTGGTTGGTGGCCCTCTCCCATGACCCTTTGTTTTAGCTGCAAACCACCCAATATCTCTTCTCTAACCTCTAAAATACACATTTTTTGCCCCCAAAAAAGTGGAGGTTTTTCCCACCCTACCTGACGTTCTCATGGCGGTACATGTACATGGTGTTGAACTGCTGCATCTCCTTCTGGCTCGGGTCCTTCTTCATGTCCTTCAGCATCTCATCAGCCACGTGCTTGGGCAGGATGGAGAGCATCAGCCGCTCCTGTGACGGGGCAGGGGAGGGACTCGCAGCTGAGCCCGTGCCACGCTCAGCACCACACGGGGCAAATCCATGGGCAAATCCATGGGCAAATCCATGGTGCCAGTGCACAGCGCAAATGCACGGACTAAGCACAGGGTGCAAAGGTACAGTCTGAGTGCACGGTGGAAATACACTGTGAAAACACCTGGTGTTAACACACGGTGCAAGATCACAGTGTGTGCATCCCCCTGTCCCTCTTCGTGGTGACAGAGACCACCAAAGTGACATTCCCAAGCTCCTGGGCCCTTGCTGCTGGAGCTAGCCATCCCCAGAGGATCCCAGGGCCCAGCCAGATCTTCAGCCCATGGGGAAGGAACATGTGGATGAAGCCATGAGTGAAACAGAAGTTTTTCCTCCAGGCAGGGAGGCTAAGCAGGGTGTCCCAGGCACTCCAGGGAGCTGGGAGCCACCACCCTGACTCCAAACCTGCTCCCATGGGTGACATGTCTCCCTTGTGATGCTCTTCCAGGGATTCCACCCACTTCTTTCATCATTTTCCTTCCTGTTTTACAAGTTCCCATCATTTTTTTTAATTTTTTTTTTGCAAGTGGGAATAAATCCCAGCCAAGGGAGGAAGGGAAGGTAACAGCTTTGGGGCACTTCAGACACCAGTCTCTGTGTCCCTGGAGCTGTGGGAAGGAGGGACGATCCCACACACTTAAGAGTTTGTGCATCCCAGCTCTGTTCCGCAGCAGAGACACAGAGCCCAGCCCCTCTCTGTGAGCTTGGGAATTAAAATACATTGGGTTGGCCAAAGTTTTATCAGCCCAAATAAACCTGGGACATGGTGCTGGGCACAACCTCAGAGGCTGCACCGATGTCCTCCAAGGTCCCTGCCAACTGCCCCAGGATGTCCTGCCCCAGGGGTAGGTCAGACCTGGGGGTATGGACCTGGGTTAAACCATACTAGGGAGGATTTACCAACTTACAAATGTGGTGGGTGCCCCACACCCACACACAGGACTGGACTGAAGTCCCCTAGGAGGATCAAGTCCACCTGGGACACGGTGCTCATTGCTAGCCTTGCTGGCCCTGCAGCCCTGGAGCTGGAGAAGGAATAAATCTGCCTGGCTGCACGTGGGGATTTGCAGGAAATGTAAGTAACTCGGTTCATTAAGTGGCTTTTCCCCCGGGATGGGGGGGTTCTCTGTGCAGCCGCGGCGGGACCGTTGCTGGAGGAACAGCACCGTGTCCCTGTCCCCATCCCCGGGGGCTGCTGGTGGGGAGGTGTGGGGAACTCCCTGGCTCCTCTGCTCCCATTCACCTCCAGTTCAGCCACTGCAGATGGGCTGGAGGGAGGAGGGATGGATCCAGCTGCCAGCATCGCTCCCTGCCCTGCTGCCCCCCATTCCCTCAGCCTCTCAGCCACAAACCAGCAGCTTTTCCTGCAAGATCACCATCTATTTTTAGCTCAATTCTCTAAGGAAACGGAGCTCATGTGATCATAATGCCCCTGCCCCTTCCTGTACCCCTTGGAAGCCACCAGCCAGGGCCTCCAAGGCACTTGCACTCAGATGATCCCCCAGCCCCAGGATTTACCCCCATCACCCCCACCCTGGTCCTAACCAGAGCATCACAGCATCCACCCATAGCAAAGATGATGCTGGTGCTGTTCACCCAGCAGAGGTCACGTATCTCTTGTTGCCATTGGGAGCAACTCAACCAGCTAAGAGATGGGAGATGAGGACAGAGGCCCCAGATAAGGCACTAAAATCAGCCCAGCTCCTCAGCAGGGGATGGCTTTGGAACGCTCACCCATTGCTCCTTGTGCCAGGCCACCATGGTGTGATGCCAACACAGCCCTGTGCAGGGGACTCCACCATAGAGGTCAACAAGGGATGAGGGACCATGTCTGGGGATGGGGACCTGCTGTGTGACCATGCATGGGGATGGGAATTGCTGCATGGCTGTGGCTGGGGACCTGCCATGTGACCGTGCACGGCGACAGGGACCTGCCACGTGGCTTTGCCCAGGGATCTGCTTCATGGCCATGCACAGGGATGGGGATCTGCCATGTGGCTGCTCCTGGGGACCTGCTGCATGGCTGTGTCAGTGGTGGGGACAGCCTGGGGATGGCCATGGCAGGATCTGGGAGGCCTTGGAAGAGGACAGTCACACAGAATCCCCAGATTGCTCACAAAGTGCAAAGCTGCACATGCATTTCCCACCTTGGGTCTTCCTGTCCCCATCACCACCCACCACAGTCCCTCCTCGCTGGGCAGGGTGCAGGCTGTGGGATCCTTATCCATGTCCCAAAGACACAACTGGTATCCCTCACTGTCCCCTGCTGTGTCTCCACACCTGCCCAGCCGTGGCTGTTACCTGCTGCTGGCTCTGCTCCTCCAGGTTGAGCTTGACCTCCAGGGACTGCCGCGCTTCCAGGAAGGCTTTGCGGTGCTTGCGGTCGGCCATGTAGTAGGACATGGTGCCCACCGTGATGGCACAAAGGTAGATGGCAACATTGCACAGGATCTTTGGGGACAAAAGAAAAAAAACAGACAGGAGTGAGCAGAGCCACAGAGAAGTCAGCGCGTGCCCCAGGGACTCGTCACTGAAGTCCCTGTTTGAGCAGCAGAGCCTCATCGGTGAGAGTGGAAAAAAAAATTCAACTGTTGGAGGAGGACATAGAATAGACCCTGGGGACAAGCCACTGAGCCACGGCCACTGCTAACTGCTGGGGGGTGGCACAGGGGGGACCATCAAGGTGGCTCTGCAGGAGGGGTCCAGCCGAGGATCACACTCTCAGCATCTCAGGAGGCCTCACGGTCCCCACAGGCTGACTTGGCATCATTAAAACTTGCAGAGATGTTTTGGAAAATCAAGTGGCTCTCGGCAGCTTATGTGCCATCCGGTCCCCTGTCCCTGCCATGGGAATTGTCATAAAAACACAGCCAAACCCTAAAATCCCGGATTTACTCCTGCTCCTGCCCCTCTGTATCCCTTGCACATGTGAGCCTGCAGCACCTGAGATGAAGGCCCCAGGGTGTCACTGGCTGAGACAATCCACCCCATTTTCTTGGAGATTTCAAGGGATCACCACATGAAGGCTTGTGATGGGACCTCATAGGGGCCCATGAAGATGCTCTGAGGGCTGGAGCAGCTCTGCTCTGGAGACAGGCTGAGAGACTTGGGGTTGTTCAGCCTGGAGAAGAAAAGGCTCCAGGGAGACCTTAGAGCTCCTTCCAGGACCTGAAGGGGCTACAGGAAAGCTGGGGAGGGAGTTTTGACAAGGGCAGGGAGTGATGGGATGAGGGGGAACAGTTTCAAGCTGCAAGAGATGCAGAGATTGAGATGAGATCTGAGGAAAAAATTCTTTGCTGTGAGGGTGGTGAGACCCTGGCCCAGGTTGCCCAGAGCAGCTGTGGCTGCTCCATCCCTGGCAGTGTTGAAAGGCAGGTTGGATGGGGCTTGGAGCAACCTGGTCTGGTGGGAGGTATCCCTGCCCATGGAAAGGAGGTTTAAATTAGATGGTCTTTAAGTTCCTTTCCTACCCAAATCAATCTGGGATTCCATGATTATATGAGTTGTTCCATCCCTGCGTTGGATCCTGTCCCCATGGGCTGGACCTGTCCCATGCCACAGGTTGGACCTTGTGTCCCCACAGCCTGGGAAGGGTTGAAGCAGGTTTGTAGCTGGAAACAAAAAACCCTTCATGGAAAATATGACTGGTGATGGATAGTTGAATAATGTGGTTTGTTTAGTCTAGAAAGGGAACAAGCGACGTGGAAGATGTGATAATGGGCTCAGGCTATGCTGAAGGGTGATGGGGACATGGAGATGTCCTCCCACCCCTACGAGTGTCACAGGCAACGTGGAGGAGGCAGGGGGAAGAGCATGGAGCCACTTCCAGGCTTGTGTCCACCAGGGATGTGCTGCCACACTCTCAGCATCCTTCTCCAAGCTCTCTGGTACTGACTTTGTCCTGTCACTGATCCCTGTATCCTATAGACCAGCTTGGTCAGAGGAAAGCTCTAATGTCACCCCAATTCCAGGGCGTCCCTGTCCTTGGAAGTTTTACCATCTGATAGCATTGAGCCCTGAGCAGTCTGGTCTCATCACATGGTGACAGGGAAAAGCTGCCAACCCTCCCTATAGAGGGAAACTGAGGCACAGATGAAAAAGTCTTGACATGGCACCGTGCTGGGGGTGAGAAAATTATTTGCAGCAAGGAAGCTGGTTTTGGGGTGGGACATGAGGAGCAGAAGAGAATGCCTGGGATGTCCAGTTGATATCCCAGGGCTGGATCCTGCCCAAGGTCCCACTGTTGCCGCTGGGGGATTCCAGGGAAGCCCCCAGACCCATAGCATGGCAGATGGTGAGCAAGGAGCCGTCTGGAGGAGGGCACGGAGAAGAAACCCCCAAAAACAAGCAGCCACTTGCTATTTTTAACTAGCCTCTTGGGTTGCTATGACAACGGGCCACTCTACCAGGGCTGGATGGGGATGGCACAGCTTGGCACAGCTCAGCACACCAGAGCCACCCAAAACCCTGGAGCTGCATGGCACAGCCCCGTCCCACGCCAAGCATCTTCCAGCTGCATCCTGCAGCCCTGCAATGGCTGCTCAGCCCCAATCCCCCTGCCAGCATGTGCCCACGTTGCAAAAACACCTCCCAGCATTCCTACTGCTGGGGAAACTCTGACACCAAGGACACCCCACTCCCGGCACAGGTGCCGGTTATTATTTCTGCTCAATAATTTGGGGGCAGGGAGAGGAAGACACGTGCAGGAGCATGCATGGCTGGTGGAACAAGCCTCATTCCTCCTTTCCCATCCACATCCTGCGGGAAAGGTGGCAGTGGAATGTACCAGGGCCACCTGAACTGGGACCTAGAGGATGTTTCGCAGCTGGTTCGCACACAACTGCGGCAGATCCAGCCTCAAATGCTGCCGAACCCCAACTCCCAGGCACAATTCCAGCCTTGGGGCTCCTCCTCCGTGGCCAGCAGCAGGGCAGAAGCACCAACCCATGGCCCCCCCGGGCTGCGCTGGCCTGGCTCAAGCAACATCCTCCAGTCTCTCCTATTAATAGCAGCGCCCTGTGGGAGCCGCGCCACCGGCTACAATAACAATCATAATCATAAAGCATCTGATGTTTATTTCTGGACATAATGTTCCCCCTCCGGAGGCCGGCAGAGGCTCAGGCATGCCGCGTTGCCAAGGTTTTACCGGCCCCGGACTCTCCGCGCCGTGGCAATGATTAACGCGGCAGCACCCGCCCGGTGCTGGCTGGGGGGGATGCCCTGTGGCCCCTCATCAGCCTCCCACATCCCGGGGCTGGTGGCAGGGGGAGATTGCATAGAATCACAGAATCATTCTGGTTGGAAAAGACCTTTAAGATCTCCAAGTCCCCAGCACTGCCAAGGCCACCACTAAACCATGTCCCTCAGCACCACAGCTACATGGCTTTGAAACCCCTCCAGGGATGGGGACTCCACCACTGCCCTGGGCAGCCTGGGCCAGGGCCTGACAACCCTTTCCAGGAAAAAATATTTTCCAGTATCCAATCTAAACCTCCCCTGGCACAACTTGAGGCCATTTCTTCTTGTCCCATTGCTTGTTCCTTGGGAGAACAGACCAACCCCCCACCTTGCTCCATCCTCCTTTCAGCTAGTTGTAGAGAGCTGTTTCCTTGGCTTTGGATCAGCCACTCACAGTGCTTGCATCCCAGAGAAGAAACAAAACCTGGGAAAGATGCTAGTCCCACCAGCGTGATGCCTCCAGCTGGGCATCACCAGAGGGCACCCATGCCACTGCCCCAGCACCCATCCCAGCACAATATGGAAACTGTTCCCAAAAAGTGTTTTTCTTTGCAAAATCCCCTGTGGCACCAGAAAATGTCCCATGCCAAGGGACCAGCCCTAAAACACACCCCCAGAGACTGGGGAAAAACACCATCCTTGGGTTTTTTTTTAGAGAACAGGCTCCATTTCCCAAACTTCCTGTGTGACCACAGGCTCAACATTCCCAAATCCTCCCAAAAAGCAAATAAATATCCCCCTCTCCCTTCCTTTATATGCTGGAAGCCTCCCAGGATCTGACTCAAAGCATCCCAAATCCCTGTAGTAACCTCTCATGGAGCCCACACCATTATGGGGCAGAGCAGATGCTTCCAGCAGGGTTTTCCCCACTGCCATCAGCACACAAGTTTCCAGCCCTGGCTTTTTTTTCCAGCCTCCCTCACTCCCCACCCCAGCCATGGAATGGCTCCTGAGATCCATGTGTGGCCAGCCAGTGGGGACATCCCCTACAC